GAAAGTTCCAATTCTGATAGATATCCAACCATTTCAAGCCTAACACATGCCATGGTGCAAGAAAGATTAGACAAGATGATTAGAGAAAGAGAAGAGGCTAAAAATGAAGAGAGGAGGAAGGAGCGAGATGAAAAGACCAAGTTTATAGTGATGATAGCAATGGAGAAGTCTTCTTACGATCCAAGAGAAGATTTTAGAGAGTCCATTGAGCAGATGATAATAGCAAATAGGATTCATGATACGAAGGATTTAAGGCGACTTTTGAATTATTATGTTTCTATGAATGCAGATGAATACCGTGGTATTATATTCGAGGTGTTCCATGAAGTTTGCACCAATTTCTTTTTATCATGTAAACACCATTCATATCGTCAAGTATAAAACTTCGGNCACTCCCACCATCCAACCCCAGCCAACCAAAGAGGCAGAGGAAAAAAGATAAATATGCAAGCAGTAACTGAATATGTTCCAAGGAATATGTCAAACATTGTAATCTTTTACGATTGTCTTAGGTTTTCTGTATTTCGATAGTAGCATAATATAATAAATACTATTTTCAGAAGTGATCTTGTCAGGAACTGTGCATACAGACACTGTAATATTCTATTCTTCTGAAATTGCATCAGCGCCAAGCAACCAAGCTTTTTATGTTGCGACGAAGACGTTGATCAAGGCCAATACTCACGAGGTAGAGAGAAGCCATTGGGTGATGCAGTAACCTCTCGGGTAGTCACTCTTATTTTAAGTTCTTAAGGATATTCATGCTGCTTACGGCTACACAGGCAACAAAAAATATTGCAGTGAATTGTGTGGAGTATACAGTGCAGACACAGATTTAGAAACAAAACCATCTCCAACCATTTCTCCAAAATACAGCTGTCAAGTAACTGCTTCATCAGCACACGACCAGAATCTCTAGATCCAGCATAGTTAAAGACCACTTACAGTAAAACTTTAATAACATACTGGTAGCTTCACATGCCAAACATCAAGCTCTTCAAAGCAGATTTAATAAAAACAATCAAACAGTGATCAACACATTACCACAATAGGCAACCAATTAGGTATTCATAATTTCTGTTGTAAGACTACATTGTCGATTCTACTTTGATTGCAGAAAAAGAAAATGACCACAAAAAAAGGATTGAATTCATCTGATAGCCAAAATGAGAACTTACACATCCTCATACACCAACTAATAGAAACTTTCAAAAACTTTCCTCTAGGTCTAAAAAATACATAGATATAAACTTGCTAGTCCAGAAGCCGGCTCTCAGCTTATCACTGAAGGTTTGAGGACTTGTTAAGAATAACACCTTCATATTTGACCTGGAACCACTTCATTGCGTCCTCCTTTGTGACCCTGTGCTGGATCCCAACTCGAGACTTGCACCTACGACGACGAGCAACACGGTATCCAGGGCGCTCCAATACAACATAGAAATCCATACCATAAATACCAGTTGAAGGGTCATATCTGTGAAACAGATAAGAAAAAGTAGAATGACACAGCTTAGAAACGGAATTTTTTCATATATATCAAATTAAAAATGTTATGTAGAAGGAATTTCCAGCAAATTTTTTAACACAGTTCGTGTTATAAACAAGGAAGGCCAACGACAGACAAATAATGTTAGAAGTAGCTAATTTTGTTGATTAGGAAAGCTAAAAACAGGAAAGATATAATTAGATGACAATTTGCTTACTTGATTCCAAGATCAATGTGCTCCTGAATACCAAACCCAAAACAGCCGGTTTCACTGAAGTTCCTTCTCAACAACTCATATTCCTTGACTTTCAATCCACTCTCAAGTAGCTGCATGGCTTTCTCCCCTCTGACAGTCACATAGCAAGCTATCTTTTCATTACGCCTGATTCCGAAGGACCTCACAGTGTACCTTGCTGTTAATGAGAACCAACGCAAGCACGTGTGAGATTATTAATATCATCTTCAAATAGGTTGATCCGAGATAAATACAAAAATCAGTTAAAAGTCCACAAACAAAGTGCTCAAACAAAACATTGGAATGCATGACTAAAAGCAGGAAGCAAGTTTAGCTAACTATAACTCGTGAATAACATGGTTATCAAATTTCAACAATCTCAAATTGTGAGTAAAGCAGGCTTGGATCAACATCTAACAAAAATACTTGTACATCTATGTTGCCTAAAAGAACTAAAAGAATCAAAATCCAGTACAATTACAAAAATGTGCAACATACAAAAAAGTTGCTTGTGATTTTAGTTCATAGCAAAAGAAGGGCCTCCTTAAATAGGTAGACTAACAGACAAGTTACTCCCCATAACCTGGCATTTAAACTTCAATTAATCAACCAGGCCTCAATCCCAAAACTAACTGGGTCTTCTATACAAGTCCTTTGTATCTATCCAGCTCTATTCACGCCAACATATAAACTGCAACTAATTACATATTAAGGCTAAATTTTAACAAATGCAATTGTTAACCAATTACCACAACCAACCACCTTGAATGTATCCATAGGCCTCGATTCATTCATTAGACAAATGTTCATTGTGCAGAGCTAATATTTCCAAGAACTGACTATGTCCTAAATACAAAGGTGCCTATTATTTATTTAAAAGCACATAATATTCAGAGACTTACCCTTGGAGAAAACAGGTGATTGACCACTAAGTTGCTCCAACACCTTAAGTATCAAAATAAAAATAGACCCAATTTTAGGTTTAATATCAAAACAATGGAAAATAATAAATTCAGGGTGATGTTGCGAAAAGGGACTGAACCTTTGCAGCTCTAGTAAGTCGATCTCCACTCTCACCAACGGAGATGTTGAGGACAAGCTTCTGAACCTTGATTTCCCTCATGGGATTGCTCAGTTTCTTCTCTGAAGCCTGCTCTCATTTTACACAAGAAGAAATGCTTAAGTTATTGGCGTATACATAGGACAAACATGAATACTCATGGAATGGAAATCGGAGAGAAATACCATGGCGATGCGGCTGGAAGATGTTGCAGCTGCAGGGAGAGTTGTAGGGTACTGATGGCGCGAAGAAGATCCAAAAAGAAAACCCTAAACCTATCTAATGTTGTAAACGTACGACGTGGGCCGCAACTTGTAGAAGAGTGAAATGCCGTCCCCTATTTAAAACATAGCCGAAATTTACAAAGTTTTTAATGTTTAGCCGCTTTACAATCAACTTCAAACATGTGATTCTGAAATTGAAAATCGAGGTTTGAAGATTTTAAATTCAAATATATGGGTTGGAAATTAGTCTCTGTCAAAATCTAAGGTCTGAAGTTTGAATAAGTTTAAATCAAATATGAAGTCTGAAGTTAGGTTTCGCCAGAGTCCAACTTCAGGCTCGAAGATTTGGACTTTAATTTATTAAACTTTAAATGTTCACGTCTAACGTTAGGCTTTGAATTAGTCTAATGTGGTGCCATTTTTACTTCTCATGAGTACATACTGTTAATTTTTGGTAAATGAAGCTGATGGCTAGTTTTTTGATCGCGTGTTAATATGTAATTGTCGTTTGAAATTTGATTAAATATAAGCATTTTTAATGCGAAAATAAAATTTGAATAAAAATATTTCTAACTAAAATATAGAAAACTTTCAGCATTGTGCATTGGAGTTCAAAACTCCCTACAAGTGAAATTTCAGCACAATCTGATATAATTTAAAAATTTTACAAGTGAAACTTCAACAAATTGTATGGATTATAATAGTTTCCTACATAGGAAATCCAATATAATATTATAAAGTTTTATACTTTCACATGTTAAACTCCCAACATACTGAGCTAGGAGTGTCAATGGTTCGGTTCGGGCGGTTATTTTATAAAATTTGTACCATACCAATTTTTCGGTTATTCTATTATGTATAACCAAAATTAGACTTTTCGAAACCGTCCCAATCATGTCGGTTTCTCTTCGATATCGGTACGGTTCGGTTAATTTTCGGTATTTTTTTAATATCATGTAAAATTCACTAGTAGAAGTAGAATGCAATAACATACGTTCTTTTATAAGACTTAGCAAAACTCTCTAGACATTTTTATTGTTTAAAGGGTGATGAATTAAAAAAAAATGGTCAGAGTATAGATCCATCAACTATTCTACAACAGCGTAAAAGAAATCAAACAAAGGCAAAGAAAATATAAATCACACGAGTTGAAAGATATACCAAGCTGGGACTCAAGAATAAAGTCTATAGAAGATTAAATATTCAAAAAGATAAATCTAAATTATATGAAAGGAAACATATTCAATACATTGTAGTTGGCTACTCATAATCGCTAGAATACTTTGTGTCTTGCTAATAAAGATACTTGAAATAACTTAGTTTAAGTAGAAGTAGCATAATAGATTTTAGGAATTAGTATTTTGAGTTTAATTACTTGTTGGCTTGTAATAGTTTTCATAATTCCAAGTCCCAAAGAAAATTTAATGTATTATTATTTTTAAACTTACTAAATAAATATATTTTCTACATGTAAAATTTATTTGGTACGGTTCGGTATTTTTTCGGTTTATTATTATAAAATAAAACCTACCCTAATTATCGGTGCAGTTTTAGATTTATATAAAAACCTACAGTTTCTTAAAATGAAACCTAAAAATCGGTTCGGTGCGGTCCAATTCGGTCGATTTAGTCGGTTTTCGAATATCCATTGATACCCCTAGCTGGAGCGGACCATAATCTATCTTGAAACTCCAAAATAGTGTCTTAAAATTTCACTTTATATAAGTACCATTCATAAAATCATCTTATTATGGTTTTGTTTGTATATTTCAAACTAAAGTTATCCCATAATGAAATTTATAAACATGAATGTTGAGAGTGTTTTGAAATTCAAACTTCTAGAAGTGAAATTCCACAAATATTATTGTGAAGTTTGAGATGTTTTTGCACAAATTTTTCAAACGCAGACAAAAATTAAACAAGGCACCGGAATAGCCTATTTGTGTAAAGTTCCCAATATATCACAAGAGAGAGCCCAATGGACAACAATGCGGCCCAGCCCAATTGCAAAAACGCAAAGCCATGATTACCCAAATCCAGAACCCAAACGACGTTTGCCGTGTTAGCCGTCGAAGTGTCGTTTGAAGTTTCCCGGTAGTCTTCGGTACCGGCAACAACTTGAGATTGGGTCATTAATTATCCGAACCCATTGTTCCTACTCCGTCCAAACGAGCTCCTTTAATCCAAGGTGTTTACTCTTTCCAGTTATGGATTCTTCTGGATAATTGATTTTAATGAAGGTCAAGTTTTGTTATTCAGAAACTGGTTTCGCTTAAACAAGAAGAATTTGCCTTTACTTGAAATGTGATAAATGAAAATTCGTGTGTGTTTATATATGCTTCCCTAAGGGATTTATTCCTATTAATTTTGCAAGATGAGAAGTAAAATTAAGTACTTGTTTTAATTTGACACTTCTTTTATGGACTATTCAAAGCATTTCTATTATTTATGCTATTCCATTCTATTTCTAGATTTCATTTGCTTTTCAATCTTTGATCAATACTAAATAAAACAAGTTGGTAATGCTTGACTAGCAGCTTTTGCAATTTCATTTTTGGGTAAAATAAGTTACTATTTCATGATTGTTTCTGCTAATTGAGTATCCTTCAATCTATGTTGCTGTACTTTCCAAAAATGTTGTGTGGTACGTGTCAGATCCTCCAAAGGATTTGTCTGATAATTTCGTTCAAAAATGATTCAGGCTGCTGGTCTTAACTCCCAGATTAGATGTGGAGTATCAAAGATAAATTATCAACAAGGTTAATGAATATTTGCATAGCATCTCTTTGCAAAGCCAAACAATTGGAGAAAGCTGAATCGGTAATAGTTGATGGCATAAGAATCGGAGTACAACCAGATGTCGTCACTTACAATACAGTGATTGCTGCGTATTGTCGCGTTGTTGGCATTGATGCAGGTTATTCCATCCTTCATAGGATGAAGGAAGCTGGAATTAATCCTGATGTTATTACGTATAACTCTTTAATAGCTGGAGCTACCAGATATTGCATGTTATCCCGATGTCTCGATCTGTTTGATGAAATGCTTGAGATGAGTATTCTTCCTGATATTTGGAGTTACAACACCTTAATGCATTGCTTCTTTAAATTGAGAAAGCCAGATGAGGCTTACAGAGTTTTTCAGGATATTATTTTGAAAGATATTTCTCTTCATCCAGCAACATTCAATATATTAATGAATGGTCTTTGTAAGAATGGATATACAGAGAATGCCCTAATGTTATTTAGGAGTTTAAAACGTCATGGATTTACTCCCCAATTAGTAACTTACAACATTCTTATTCATGGGCTGTGCAAGTCAGGTCGAGGTAAAACTGCAAAAGAGTTTCTCAATGAATTGGTAGAAGCAGGTCATATCCCAAATGCCATCACCTATACGACAGTAATGAAATGCTGCTTCAGATGTAGACAATTTGAAGAAGGCCTTAAAATCTTTGCAGAGATGAGAAGGAAAGGATATACATATGATGCCTTTGCTTACTGTACAGTTGCTAGTATGTTACTTAAAACCGGGAGGATGAATGAGGCCAATGAGTACCTGGGCTATATCATTACAAATGGCTTTGACCTTGATACGGTGTCTTTTAACAACATTATTAATCTATATTATAAGGAAGGTCAGCTGGATAATGCTTATAAGTTGCTGTACGAGGCAGAAAAAAAAGGCTTGAAATCTGACAAGTACACACATACTATCTTAATTGATGGCTTGTGCAGGACTGGTAATTTCAAAGAGGCCCAGCAACATTTGGATTGTATGAGTATGATGGGTTTTGATTCTAACTTAGTTGCTTTGAATTCTTTTATTAATGGGTTGTGTAAAGCTGGTCACCTTGATCATGCATTGCGGATGTTTGAATCAATGGATGCCAAAGATTCCTTTACTTACTCCACTATAGTGCATGGTCTTTGCAAAGCTGGGAGGTTTTGTGCAGCATCTAAGCTATTACTATCATGTGTTAGAGATGGCATGAGAATTCTTAAATCAAATAAACGTGTTGTTATTAGTGGCCTTCGTTCTTCTGGGTTTTCACATGAAGCAAGGAAGGTCCAGTCTAAAATTCGATTGGCTAAGATACTGCATTATTAATTAGGAATGGTGCTCAACTCTGCCACTCAAATGTTAACCTTATTAATTGCCTACGGTTTTGCACTATAACACGTTATGGAAGCTGAAAAACCTCGAGCGTCAATGCAACTGAGAATACAACCTACAGTAACCAGTTTCAAGTCAAGTATTCGATCCTCTTGTAAGAGGCAAACACAATGACACTTCTGTCAGGAGGTGGTTAATTGTATACTTTTCCTCACACTAAGGATACTGATGACATGCTGTTGAAATTGTGAAGAGTTATTCTGTGGAAGTAAAGGCATGTTTTATCACAGATGCTAAACAACTAGGCGGGTCGGACTGTAAGTCATTTGTACTTCTAAATAATCTCTTTCCGCTTATTTTGGTGTAATGTTTAGTATCGTATTCCAAAGTTAGATAGTAGAGTACAATCAGTTCAAGGAGTGCTCTTTTCTGCAGCATGACATTCTGGGCTCTGAATCCAAAATCATTAAGCAGTTGTGATTGGCTGAAGATAAATCAAAGGTAAGGATTGTATTCCTCTTTTCCTTTATCTAGAAATGAAGTGGTCTTATATATTTGAGCCAGAATGCTTTTTCCTCCTGTTTGAAGTTGCTTAAGATCTGTTGACTGTAGCCAATTGACTCGGGGAACGAAGGTCAGTTAAGCTAGATAGTTAGTAGGGATCACTGTTATACAGTTAATGCATGCATCATGCTTTTATGATCTGTCACCCCAGTTCCTCTTTTGAGACCTTTTGTAAAAAAGTTCAGTGTTTCAAATTCATTGGTTCAGAGTTCAAGATATTCATTTGACTTATATTTTAAATGAGCGATTATAAAAGAAAACATTGAAGTAATGTTGAAAAGTTTGTTTGATGGAGAAAAAATCACGGCTAATTTTAAAGTTTGAATAGTTGAATGAATTTGAATAACTGAAAGTTTGTATAGAAATGGAAATGGTGTCAAAACATTTGGGAACGTCCAAAATGGGAAGTGTCTAGATCTGAACCTGAAAAAGTAGTTCATACACAGAGCCTTGAAAGTAGCGATAAGCTTAGCTAATGGAGGTTCTCTCTCTGAACTGATGCTGGATTAACTAAATGTAATTTAAAATTCAACAAATTATTCAAGTTAGATTTATAGTTCTGTTAATTAATTCGACAAGTGACTTAGATTTATAGTTCTGGATTTTATGCTATAGGAATGGATCAAAGAATCCTATATATGAATGTTATAGCATTGAATAAAGGTTTAGTGATATTCTTTTCCTAGATCTGATTTTGCAGCTATTCTATAGTAAGGAGCTTCTGCAACTATCATCTATTAACTTCTAAAGGATGTGATTCAATGTCTGAATCTGACATGGTTCAATACCTGGATCTCATCAAGCGCTTTTAATGTATTTGTTTTTCCTTCCTCTTGTACTCGGGGGATTTTGCACTAATCAATAGAATTTTCACTTTCTCCAACGTATAACGTTTTTTTCCCAAATTAGGACCTGTACATCTTTCTGCCTTGAACTTATCAAGTCTTCTTGTAGTTTATAAACATCTTTGGAAAACATTGTAGTTTTATGTTATATAATTTGTATAAAAGCACTACACTGCTCTCGTTTTCTCTTGGCAAGTTATTTGTAGCTTAGCCCTTTGGAAGTAAAAACTTATACTTTGAGTTTCACCATTTTTCTGACTGGAAGTGTTTGGTTTATATTCTTTGCTTGAAATCCTTTTCTTTCTTAAGTTTCAAGCTTAACATATTTGCAGTTATGCATGCTGGAAACAAGAATATAATTTCACATACTATAGCAATTAGATCCTCACGTAGAGTAATTATTCATCATTTAACTGAATAGATTAATGCCTGCGTCTAGTCAGTTTGTCTCAGCATTTGATGAGAGGTACAATGTAAATGAATATGACAAACTCTCAACAACCTGGAGATGACCAGACTGACCACAACTATTGGTTGTTATCAAATTCATTGATAATTGATATTGTGGTATAACTTTGATCATTTGCAGACTTTTTAATGCGGTTGCACAATAGGTTACCACTTGAGGGCAAGCTTTGTCTATTTAAGTTTGAAGTTGTAAGTTTCCTTCATCTTCATTTTCCGAATGGATTTGTCATAGCAGCTTCAGTTGTGAACTTTTCCCTTGCTCTCTCTTTCACTATGATAGGAGATTGAGCAACTTCAAAGAATTGGGACAAGGAAGCCAGCTTCTAAAGCTTCTTCTTTCAAAGACCATGTACTTAATCTGGTGAGTTTAAATTTCTAATTTTCTCCATCACTTAGAGCTTTCCTTGGTAGGAATTGAAAGGAAATTTATTTCTCTCAAAATTTGTTACGTTATAGTATTTCTCCCTAACGCCTGAGGTTTTTGTAGATTTTCTTGGTAAGATAGCACTTTCCTATCTCGATTTAAGAAGCGTTTACCCCTTATTGGTGCAAGGCAGTGCACAAGTTTAAATTACAAATGATTTTCTTCTGAGGAGAAGGATGTGGCAGCAAAATACTGTAAAAGGAACAGCGTGGTTTTTGGTTCCTTTTATTGTTGCATGTCCTTTCCAAGGCAACAGCTTACTCTAGTAGTTCCACATCGAAGCATTTATGTCCACCTACTGTCGAAGCTGATTCTTACAAGGTAATTTTGTCCTTAAATCTGCAAGAATGACAATATCTGAGATTGAAAAGAGTCAAAGGTGCACCCAAGGGTGTGGCCTGGTGGTCACTGAAGTGGAGGGGAGAATCAAGAGGTCTTAGGTTCATATTCCAGTGGAGGCAAAAAACAATAGGTGATTTCTTCTCATATGCCTAAGCCTTGATGGAGAGAGTTACCTGGTACATGTGCTAGTGCGAGGTACCAACTACCCGGTGGAATAGTCAAGGTGCACACAAAATGGCTTGGACACTACCGTCATTTTATAAAAAAAGTCAAAAGACATTAGGAAGCCCAAGGCAGAAGAAAAGGAGTTAGTGGGTAGGATCAGGGTTACTTGGAGCTTATTTTTTGGTTTTCCTGTTCTAATTGAAGGTGAGTGGAAGTTTTATGCTGATATTTCTTCTAAAAGCGTAGTATTACTTGTTGGAACATTAAGGAATAGGAGATGCATCCCTCTTGGGGCTAAACAGAAGCACATCGGTATATATTAAGGGGTAATTGATAGATGTAGAAAGAAGCTAACATCATGGAAGAAGCAGTTTCTTTTGGAAGCAGACACTTCAGTAAACACTGTTCTTGATGGTATTCCTACTTAGACATCACTGTTCTCTATCTCACAAGAGTTGAAAAGAGACTTTTCTCATTAAGAAGCAACTTCTTATGGGAAGGAAATTCAGATAAGAAAAGTTTCTTTCAGTTAGAATCCAAANAGACTAAATGATGGAGGAAATGACTTGTGGAAAGAGGTGATCGACACTAAATATGGTAAAGCTGGTAATTGAGCTTCTAAATCTGTCTCACAGCCAAATAAAATGGTTGTATGGAAACAAATCTGCAGCTTATGGGATGAACTCCCGAAGAATATTATGTTAAAAGCTGGCAGAGGGGATAGGATCAGATTTTGGCTAGGCAGATTGTTAGAGGAAGGATGTCTAAAAGATATCTTTGCCTAATTTATACAACATAGATGTAAATAAGGAGTCTGTAGTTGTTGACATTTTATCTGAATCTGGCTGGCGATTACAATTCAGAAATTGTAATGCTTGGGAAATGGAGGAGCTGTGTAGATTATTACTTTTTTGGAACCTATAGTCCTGGATGCAAAATAGAATGGACTCACATATCTGGTTGGCTAGTAAAGATGGTACTTTCTCAGTCAAGACTTACTACATTTTGTTGCTGAAGCAGGCAGGGCCATGGGAACTACTATATAAAACTAAGGCTCCTCCTATAGTTCCTTGCTTTGGGCGGACTTAGACACTCAATTCTTGTTTGACCCAAGATGTTCTACAGAAGAAGATATTGAACATTAGCAGTGGATGCTATTTCTAAGGAAGTGCAGTAGAGTCTTGCAATCATCTAATGCTACTTTGCTCTCAAACTTGGTGAAGTATCTATTGCAAAGCTGGAAGGGGCTTTGCGCTCTTTTTTCCTCTTCTAAATTGTGTTTCATTCCTTCCGAGTTAAATTTGCTGCTTATCATGCTTTTGCCATCTTCTAACAACACTACTCTGAAGCCAAGGGAAAACGAAGAGCTGTCAATGAAGCAGATTACACGAATAAAGAAAGGTGCTAGTCTGATATCAAGAAATCAGTCTCCTGTAGTTCTTGTTTTTGGATATATTTATTTTAAGTAAGTTAGTTGTAGTTGTAAAAACTTTTAAGAGTGAGTAATGGCTCACTAGGTATCAAGTCAAATAGATAACCTGTAAAATTGCTGGAAAACCAAGCATTCCCAAATTGTTCTCATTTAGTTTGTGTGTTCCAACTTCAACAACAACCACCCAGTATAATCCCACAAGTGGGGTCTGGGGAGGGTAGGGCGTACGCAGCCTTACCCCTACCCTGGAAGGGCAGAGAGACTGTTTCCGATAGACCCTCGGCTAAGTCTATTCCAACTTTGCTTCACATATTTGAGAAAGCAATAACATTCGAATTGTACAGATCTTTTTGACAAATGAAACAATATTGCTTTAACATTCGTAAACATAACTTAGAATATCAGGATAAAACAAGCTGAAAAAATGAAATGTTGCTTTTTAGTATACGGAAAGGAGTATAATTAGCTAAATGGAGGACAATACAATGAGGTGAACAAATACTCCATATATGAAGAACTTGCATAGTTCCGTTGTCTATAGAGACAAGGTATGAGATTTTGGTAGCAGAAAAAAAGGAACAGAGAGTCTATTTCTTATGGAATTTCAACTCGGAAGAACCATGGGAGGGTAAATGCCATTACAAAACAGGCAAGCAGGAAATTACAGCAAGATTGCTGACATCTCCATCTACAACCATTCTGCTGTATAGTAGATGTGATATATGAACTTCTGGCTTCTACTGCCCGTTGGTTCCATTCAACCACCATTATTCTGCTCTCCTGTAATCTTGTTTCCACATTTTTTGCCGTCTTCCCACATATTTCGCATAATCTGTAAATTAGATATTAGAATTTAAAGTTTTATAATCTGTGGATGTAAAGAATTTTCACCACTACAAGTAACTTGTCTATAATAAGTGAGATTAGTTATCTCAACAATAAGACATATTATGTGACAGAGAATTTATGTGACGTACTAAGTGAGAAATTAAAAAAACACTATTCAAATTTGTGTTATGTAATAAGTGAGAAATTAAAATACACTATCCAAAACGTAAAAATTCTTTGCATTGTCAATAAGCTATCCTAGAATTGTTATTCCTGGATTATTATCCCACCCTTCCATAGGGATAAACATAATACTATAATCCCGTGAATTAGTTATAACGTGATTTTATCCCAACCAAATGTGGGCTAAACTCATCTCAAATTTAATCCCGAAATTAGTTTATCCCGGTTTGTGCATGAAAAATAGGAGGATGATATAATTCTACCTGTTACCTCTCTGATTAAACCAGGCTTCAGCACAATGGCGATGACAAATACCAAGCTCAGCTTTACAGTCACAACCAAGCTCAATTATTTCCTTGGATTCTTCATTCAAATGACATATACGACATACTTTTTCCATTCCTTGATTTTCATCAATCATATCAATTAAAACTTGAGTACCTTTCTCTAATATTTTTTCTCCTGATTCTTGTCCTTCTCCAACACTCTCTGAATTACCTCCCCATTTAATACTCGTATTTAAAATATTGCCATCATCTTCTCCTTGTTTTATCTCCTTAACTTCTCCTTGTGTTATCTCAACTTCATTATTTTCTGCCATTCTTGGAACAGTTAGAAAGCTCTTCTTTTTTCGAATTTCCACTGCTTGCTGCAGAATCCTGCATGATTTGCGGGTTTGTTTAGTGCAGAATCCGAACTTTGAGGGAAATAAAGGAAGAAGGAACAAATTAAAGAAAAAAGCATATCTTCTTTACACGATTTTCACTTGAATATGCTTTGCTTCAAGTCGTTATTTATTATGCAGGAAGCTTTAATTCAGTGGGAATAAAGTTGAACGATACTGAGTAGTATTATATCGGTGAATTCGGACGAAAGGTGATACTGTAGAACTTAACCTTGATTTTAGATGGCAGAGAGAATGTGAATTATACTTTGAATTTTAAAGAATACCTTTTTAATTTCTAAGTAAAAAACGTAATATATATATAAATCAAAATTATTTTTGGCTGCTCATCATGCTTTGGCCATCATCTTCTAACAGGCAACAGCACTGCTAGCTCTAAAGCAAAGGGAAAATGAAGAGACATCAATGAAGCAGATTACACAAACAAAGAAATTGACTAGTCCCATATCAAGAAATTACATTGTATAACAGTGCCAGAGCTGGGGCTACAAGGCCGGGATTCATCCGTGTTGGGGATATAATATATATGTCCTAGATCCAATCTCATATTTGATGATTTGAAGATATTTTTGTGAACGTTATTTGATATAAAAATATATGGCATTTGATATTCTTTTATCATAGTTATTATTAATTGTTTGATTAATTTGATAAGGTCCTTGATTAAATTTTGAGATTTATCATCGTGATGGAGATCATAATAATGAGAGCAAAGTCTCTTATAATTTAATCTAAATTTGTTCTTGATCGTAGGATTATTAATTTGGACATTAGTAATCCGGTTAGATCAATATTTATACGATTGTCTTTATTGGATAAAGATTAGTTGATCCCATTAACTAAATCACATAGATAGATGATGTATATAGAGATATGATCATTGAACCGACTCATTGGATAATTCCTAATGGTTAGAATTACCATAACTGTCAATAGGATATTCTCTTGAAGAATGTGATGTAAAAATTTCCTTTGACCTGAGATCGTCATAGTAATTGACAAGTTATTTATTGTGCTTTGATACACGACACCTATGGCCCTAAGGCGATAGTTGAAAGGATATTGGGTATGATTAAATGCTTGTAGAATTAGTGATTGATCAAGATGGAATCTGTCAACTCTTGGTAATGAGTTTAAACTCCATGTTGTCATGAATTATAAACGACCAAACTAAGACCTTGGCTAGGGCAATTGATTGAAAGAAGAAAGGAGTTTCTTAGGTCATTCAATAGTCGATTATATTTGACATTAACACATAGTTGGTTGCCTATTAGGATTTGACAGTTGAACCATATCCTAGGGTGATCCAGAGCTATAAGGACAGAAGGAATTACTACATTATTCTTCTACTGATTCTTGAGAGTAAATTATATACTTCATTCTATCCGGTCGTTAAGGAGTATTGCTAGACGCTACCCTTGATTAGTATATTGATGTGATCAATTTACTACCGGTTTAGTATTGAACCTATGGGGTCACACACTAACGAGTGTTCTGATATTTGCTAAAGGATTGATTAACTTATTATTTGATAATTGAATTAATGAATTTAATTAGTCAAATAAATTTAGTTATTAGTCCAAATAAAATATTATTATATTCTTTGCTAGCAAAGAGGATGTAATTAACATTGTGAACGAATTGAAATTTTCTATTTGGAATAGAAAACTAAATTATATCTCTTGGTTGAAATATATATGTGATATATATATAATTAATATTTATTTGCACAAAGTGTGCATATAATATATTAATAAAAAGTTATTTGGAAATCCAATTTAGAATTGGAATGGATAACAAAGTCCAAAAATGGACGTGAGATTAGCTCAAACCCATTAAGAATGGGATTGATATTTTTTAATATAAAATATTAGTTAATTTTCACAACCCAATCCAACTTGGAATTGAATTGGAACGTCCTTAAAGGACAATCTGACGGAGGCGTGAAAGTCCAATTGGATTTAGCATAAAATACCTTCAGTCACGTTACCCTTGGGAACGTAATTGGATTTAGCATAAAATACCTTCAGTCACGTTACCCTTGGGAACGTGATTCGATTTCTTCCTTAAAGTTTATTTTTGAATTAAATTTTCATCCTAAGTAAATTATTACCTCAACCAAATAGGAAAAGAGTTTATAGATGATGCTATACAAAGGGTGTTGGAAGAAAATTTGCTATTTTTTTTTTGAAGAAAACACTTTGTGAAAGTGAGAGAACAACACAAGCCAAGAGAGAAAATACAATTACAAGAAAAGTGTTTGTTGTTCTTCTAACATTGAGTTGAGATTTTTGAGAAAAATTTCAACACAATATTTTTCGTTCAATATGTTCGCGGGTTTCATTAATCAAAGAGTTGATAGCAAGGATCGGTCTCGGTGTGGATACGCATAGAGTCTTCGCACTATCGAAGAAATTTTGAAACGAGACTCTCTTCACCAGGTACGTCTTAGATCCGATCTTTGACATGTAAATAAATTTTAAACACGAAAAGATCTGCCTAGAATTGTTATTGTCTTCCGCTGCGTGTTACGAACACCTATACACAATCCTTTAGTGGTATCAGAGCCATGGTTTCTCGTGTTAGGTAGAAATACAAATGTCAAATTAAAAGAAAAAGATAATAGACATTAAAAACAATAAAGCATGATTCTAGAAGCTGAATTACTTGATATTAAAATATAATTTCATTGCTCTGATGCTTAAAAACTTGAGAAAGAATAAAAAAGTATGTGCCATTTTTTAATCTATTTAATGTTCTTTGCGTTATTATTGAGAGAATAGACAGTTTAATATGAAAAAGAAAAGAATGTACAAAGTATAAACTTTAATATGAGACCGGAGTAAAAGAAAAAGTATATTGATGACAAAATATAAATTATTAAATAATCACTATTTAACCACCTTTTACATAAAGATTCTATATTTTTTATTTTAAAACATTCATTACTTTTCAAAAAATTAAATATAAAATTCACTATCAGAAAAATGACGCCTCACTAATTTGGGGCCTAAGGCCATTGCCTCAGTGGCTTTGACCTTGGAGCCGGCCCTGGGTTGATGGGTCGAAAATATTTCTTGAAATAAATAAATATTAGAAGTTAATGGTATTATTAGCAAATTGGAGTGCTTTGATGAGAATTTTGAGTACTAAAAATCTATCTATCTATATATATATAAGTGAGAAAGATAATGTTGCCTTGGCATCTCTCTTTGCCCAAGAAATCTATTTATCTTTTTTCTCAATTCTTTGGATTTCTCTTCCTTTTTCTTCCATTTACGTGCTACATTAAAAAACACAAAAGACATTTAAATGCTCTTAATCTTAATCATGTTTATTATATTGATTGAATCACTAATTAATGGGATCATTATAATTTTAGATGAGTTACAACTTTTCACCTCCTCATTCACCATAACATCTCCTTTTTCAATAAATTCATTCATATAGATTTCATATATATGTTGTCAATCCCCATTTTTGAGGCATGTTATACGGTCCAATTGGTTTCACATTTCTGGTGCTAACGGGGGCTTCCAAGAGTATATTAGTAGATTATTGTTTTAGTTGTATGGCTTCCTGTTATCATTTAGGTATATCAAGTGTGGTTTAAAATACATTTTGTGTTAAAGTAAAGATTTTTGTTCTTGATGTGCTTTACTTTGTCCATAGTTTTTCTCTTTCACAGGCAATGTGATTCTATATTTGTTATGCTCTTTAATTGTTGCTATGCTCTTTGTATAATATATATGACGGAGGAATTAAATTGGCTTTTGCTTCATGCTTTCACGACATGCATTTTATCTTTTTACTTTTTTTTTCAATTTCTCATAGGCATAGTTCGGAAAAAATATGTTAATCTTATGCCTCTTCTGTTTTCATTAAATCAATCCTCTAAACGTTGAAAATTAGCATTCAATGGGTAACAAAGAAATATAGAGATGGAGAGAAACAAATGATAAAAATTAAGAAGAATTATTGTAGTTATTTTAGATGAATAAAAATTAAAGTGTGAGAACGTGTCATTCATTTTCATGGAACAGATCTATTATTTGAAAATGTGTGGTAGTTAATATGCCACTCCGTGTAAATACTACTCCTATTCTATATAATTTCAGCACCTATAAAGAATTCTTGCACTAGAAAATTTTAGTTCTTGAAAATTTTCTCAACTTGAAATCTTCATTTTTTTGGCTATTCATCTTCACTATTTCATTCGCTCGAACTTCTAATTCGGTTGTTCTTCTTCACTTTAACTTTTAAAAACAAATGGGAGATTTAACAGTTTCTCAGTACTTTTATTTGAGTGCATATTAGAGTGAATATCTGCTTTTTAAAGTTTACATTTTAAAAAGAATATTTTTAAAATAGTGTAGAAGGCAAGCTCTCTCTCTCTAAGTGCTCTCAGCTCACGTTAGTTAACATGCGCTGAAATTGGTCATCCATGGCGAGAGGGAGGGGAAAAGGACGAGGAAGGCCAAAAAAAATTGTCATTACCAGCATAGAAAGATCTACTAACTCACAAAGCAAAACAACGGGAAACGAGAATGCTCAGCAAACACTAGATCTGGAACAAAATTCGGATACTAGAGCTCAATGGAAGAACACTGGGGGTGCATCTAGCTCAGGGGTTTCAAAGAAGCTAGATCTCACAACACCCCCAACAACTGCATCAAAAGTGCAATTGGAGGAAAAAACAAAGGATCAAGCTCTGCATGCTACAATAACTAATGCAACAGTAACAATTGAGGAGGCAGATCAAGGAGCGACAATTCCTTCTTTGACGACAAAAGCTGTAGACCATAAACCATAGGCTAACCTATTCCAGAAGAACAGATCTGCAGCAAATGGTATGTCTCTATCATATATCCCTCCGGAAATTGTCGATGGCCAAGTATTTGTCCAATTGGACAAAGAAGAGGTTGAATCTGAGACTAAGAAGTAGAAATGTGCATTAATTGCTTACATCTTAGGTGATACGCCAGGATATAATACTATGAAGAGATATATAAATGTTAATTGGGCAGGTGTGAGGGAACCAGATGTATTTCTCCATGAGGAAGGATACTACATCATTAGATTCCATTCGGAGGCTGATATGAAAGAGATCT